ACTAGGTCCAATCACCATAATGTCATCAATGTAATGGACCAGTGCGACGTCTTGTGGTAGGGAAAGGTGATCAAGGTCCCTGCGGACTGAATTATGACATAGGGCTGGAGAGTTGATGTAGCCCTGAGGTAGGCAACAGACGGTGTATTGCTGGCCTTGCCAGCTAAAGGCAAACTGTTTCTGATGATTCTTCGAAACAGGTATGGAGAAAAAGGCCATCAGCCAGATCACTAGCTGCATACCAGGTACCAGGAAATGTGTTACTTTGGTCAAGCAATGAAACTACATCTGGAACAACAGCTGCAGTTGGAGTCACTACCTGGTTAAGTTTCCAATAATCCATCAGCATTCTCCAAGATCCATCTGTTTTTTCACAGGCCAAATAGGTGAGTTGAATGGGGATATAGTGAGAATCACCACCCCAGCATCGTTCATGGTGACAGTAATCTATGTAATCCCTCCAGGAACACGGTATTGCTTTTGTCTATTTTCCTAGGTAGAGGCAGTTCTAACAGCTTCTCCTTGGCTTTTCCTATAATAATAGCCCTTACTCCATTTGTCAGGGATCCAATGTGGGGGTTCTACCAGTTGCTGAGTATATTTATTCCAATTATGCATTCTGGAACTGATGAAATCACTACAGGGTAGGTTCAGAGACCCACTGGACCTACTGTGAGACTGACATAACCTAAGACTCCGTTAATAACCTGACCTCCATATGCCCCCATTCTGACTGGTGGGCTACAGTGACATTTTGGGTCTCCTGGAATTTGTGTCAGTTCAGAGCCAGTATCCAGCAATCCCTGAAAAGTCTAATTATTTCTTTTTCCCCAATGAACGTTCACTTTTGTAAAAGGCTGCAGATGCCTTTGGTGAAGGCTGCGAGAAAGAATAACAATGTAAGTCTTTGGCAGTGTATTGGAGTCCTTCCTCAAGGGGACCCAGCCTCCCCTTCAATTAAAGGGTTGTGGGTCTGTAAACTTGCTCAAGTCCGGGAATTGACTGAGGGGCCGTGACTATTCTGGCGATTCAAGTCAGACTGCTGTTCACCTGACCTAGAATTCATACAGATCAAATAAATATTTAGTAGATTTTCTATCTACTTCACTCCTAGGGACACCACGACCAAGTAGCCAATGCTGCAAGTCCATATGAGTCACACTATTCTGATTACTGCTTTGACTCTGCTGTCCATTATGGTAACCGCGTCTACCTTGTCTCTGTCGACTGAGTGCTGCCACTTGGTCCCTACCACCACAGGCTCCAATCAGCCCCATTGTAGTTAGGTGTCTTAATTCAGTTACAGCAGTTCCCACCATCAAATCTGACTTACATAAAATAGCAGTCACAGCAGTCTTCAAGTATGCTGAGGCTCCCTTCACAAATTTCTCACCGTAGTGGTAAAAGGTGTGTCCTCTGCACACCCCATGTGTAGGTCTGTGGGTCCAACCTGATAAATCTACTCTAGCATGCCAATTTCCCTAAGCCTTTAGATACCGTCTCCTACAGTATACCAAGGCATGTCTGGTGCTTTAATTTGATTTAGTGGAGGCCACTGTGTAATTCATGCAACAGCAACCCAACCAAATAAACTATTAGATCATTTCCTAACTTCTCAAGCTGAAACACTGAAGAATCACTTAGTGAGCCCATATCAATAAACTCAGACTGATCCATCTTTATGTTCCTTGCACCATTATCCCACACTCTTAATAGCCATTCTCACACATATTCCCCAGGTTTCTGTTTGTACATATTAGGAAAGTCAAGCAGTTCTTTTGGAGTGTAGTGTACCTCTTCCTGGGTTACACTTTGTACTTCACCTTTTGGGGCTTGCTGAGACTTAAGTCTAGTTACAGATCTAGAAGCCGGAAACAGTGGGGAAATATTTTGAGAACATTAAGCAGTGTCTTGTAAAGCATCTGCCTCAGGCGATGTCCCAGGCAATGACTCAGTCAAAGGCACTTTGATGCAGCTAAGTTAATCTCATTAGATGGGAGTGAGGGGCTAATGGTTCTATTGGCAGGAGTGATTCAATGGAATTTAGGGGCTTAGTGTCTCCAGCTTCCTGATTATCTGCCCATATATCCCCATCCCAGATTTTAGGATTCCATTTCTTCCCAATCAATGCCCTCACTTTATCTTCAGACACCTATCAAGACTGGCAGTTGAGATGGCATTGTAATTCAGCTGCTCTTATAACACTTGGTTTGGTTTTCGGCAATATCAGCTCTGTTGCTACAAGAAATAAGGCTTTCTTTCAAGGCACAAGTGGAAACTCTGAGGTCGTTTATGTGGAGCTTAAGCTTTGACTCTGAAGCCCTGAGCTTTCATCTCTTTCTTTCACCAGTGTGTCTAGTGAAAGTAGGACCAACCAACTAGCTTCCTTATACTTCTCATTATGACAAAACTGTAGAAAGGTATCAAACATGCAATCACCCAGAGCCTCGTCTTTCACCAATACCTGATCTACTGGTGGTGATATTTTGTGTATCTGAATTGCCACCTCATGCCATATATCAGCAGTGCCCTCTTTACTAATGGAAGCAGAGTCATCAACATCTTTAAGACTCAACAGACCTGAGAACCAATTTAGAAAATTCATCCTTACAATTATCTTTCTCTAGACCCACTCTTGGTACCAAATGTCTTCGGCTGGGTTCTCTAGAGAAGCAAAGCCAGTATAGAGAGAGAGAGATATTTATATCAAGGAAATGGCTTGTGAAGTTGTACAGGCTGTAACGCCCCAAGTCCATGGGTCAGGAAAGAGGCTTCTCCTGATTCACGTAAGCACAGGGGCTGGTGAACCCAAATCAGCAGGCTGGAGAGCTGGGCTGCTTCTCACAGGCTGTGAAGACCGATGAATCTCAAGATCGGCAGGCAAGACCACAGGTAAGCTGCTAGCTCAAGCCCCGACAACTGGAGGTGAGATGAACAGGAGCCAGCTATAGGATCCAGAATGAGCAAAAGTCCTCCAGCCCTGGCTGAACGTACACCCACACTCAATGCAGGCCTCATGTCCAAGGAAACTCCCCTTCAACTGACTGGCTACTCACAGCAGATCCCATCAAGGGGGTAATCACATATCAAATCTCAACAAGGAAGTGATTACTGAATGTGTGATACTGCCAAAACATTGAGAATCACGGTCCAACCAAGTTGACACACAGTCTTAACCACTACACCACTGCTCTGGTAACATTTGGAAAATAGTAGAAAATCACATTTTTTTGACGACTGGTAAAGGGAAAGAATCAAGCGTTTATTTTACTGGACACAGACACACACACAGACACACACACACATATGTATGTGTTCAGAAGGAGTTTTTCTTAATAGAAGTATTACAGAAAATAAAAGAAAGAGGAATAAAAACTGAGAATATCACCATTTGGCAACCTTTAATGAACTGATGGATCTAGCCGATGATCATCAATGCTGATAAAAATTACTGAGAGAGAGCAAGATAAACAAACTTCAAGTATCTCTAGATGGAAGAGTAAACTAACACCTATGGAGTAGTCTGGAAGGGAAGAGGGTGGGGATCAAATCTGAATTGGACCGATCCTTTGAAAAACTCAAGTATCAGTTAAAAAAAATTGCAGACCTTGTCGAAAAGAAAAAAGGCATTTGAAAAGCTGTGTCTAAGTAATCACACAGGAAATTAAATCAGAGAGCTTTCAGCAACTGAAACATACATGCATAAAAACTTATCTGTGATTCAACATTTTCACACTTTGTTTTTTTAATGCTGCACTTTTTAAATGTTTATATTTTAAATGCAGGGTTATTATTTAAATAATAGTTTATTTTTTCCATTCACAAATGATCTTAAGATATGTATTAATTAGGCATTTTGTTACAAAAGATAGATATAATTAAGATCTTAACTTCAATTTTCCATAATAACAGCATAAAGATTATTTCCAATTATTCTCTGAGAAACACTAAGATGTTACTTTTGTCCACAATACTGTGATCAATATCGTAGAGATATCACTGTGATGCTCCTTGTGAGTCACGGTTGGGTTTTCCTATTACCAGGTTATCTCAACCCCTTTTTGGGTCACCTCTGAACCTCCAATTAAGTAGCAGAATAGTGGTTGTGAAGAGTAAATATGTCCACCATTGCTGCTAGAAATGACCAAGGGTATACCAGAAAGAGGAAATTATCAGTAACCTTCTACAAACAAGGATAAAAAACAAAATAACAAAACAAAATGTAACATAAAACAATATAAAATAATGTAACATACAATACTACCTCTCTATAGATACAGCTGATATTCATTCTGGTGTTTCTGCACTTGAGCAATAACCTTTGGAAAGCCTCCAGGAAGGGACCTGTTTGCATGCCTTCTCACATCACCCCACTAGTGGGTGACAAAAAAGTATCTTTGTGCACTTTTATTAATCTCCTCAGCAGGAGAGGGGAAGCCTATGTCTTTCAGGAATGGAAAGCATAGTACAGGGAAGTAGTGCAGTAGAAAGTATTTGCTTAGAAGCAAACAAAATTGGGAAGCTCTGCTTCTTTCTGTGAGACTTTGGGGCTCAGTGTCTTCAGATATAAAATGGAAATACCAGTAGGTATCCTGGTATGTTATCATAATGGTTGAATAAAAGAACATACCATTTCACATAAAAGGTGCTCAATACAAGGGAGCTATGTGACAGTTCACAAATCCGGAGTTGAAAAGGAAGGAGAAATATTCAAAGGTAGCAGTTCTATTTTCATCATCATCTTCTAACCAGAAGTAAGCCAGGAATGTTAGACAATTTATACTCCAAATGCAGAAGAATATTTAAAACACTTCCTTCTTGAAACAAATCACAAGATTAACTAAATACAAGCGATCATTATATTATACTTCTAATTTTATAGATTGAGAATTTTTGAGTTTGCTTATTGGGAGACTAGTACATAGAGGTAAAGGCCGAAAGCATAAAACATACACCCTTTTAGTGAATCAAATCTTCCTTTTAATAATTAAACACCTCACCTAATCAGAACAGAGTCCCTGGTATAGCCACCGTCGTATTCTGTAGTTTCTTCTAGTGCCTGGAAATCTAGATTCTGCAAATACAAGAAAAGAGGTTTAACATCTTCTATACCACAGTGTTACAGACAATATATTAATGTATTTTTTTTGTAGACACCCGTTTTCTTACCCGGCTTCCACAAATAAGCAATTCAATTTCCTCTGGTCTGAATAAGTACTTTAAGGGAGATTCATTGGTCACCATATGAAAACCTCTCCGAAAGGCCTTGAACTGTTTTTCTATTGATTTATTGAGAATGTAGTCAGAATAGAGACTGACAAATTCCTGCAGAAAACATTAACCACAAGAACTTCTTATAATATGCTATGCAAATAAAACACAACAAGCTATTAGGATGCACAGATTTTTTATTTTTATTTTACCCAAAGAAAAAACATTCAAGGATATTTTTAAAAATTCAAATTTTACACAAAGAAAAATACGTTTTACAATTCATAGCTCTCAGTCGTAGTCAATATTAAACTGTAAAAGCTATGTACACAAACTGGTTACACATATAAATTTCAATTTTGATTGTGCATTAAATGGGACTAAATATATAAGCTGGAGCCTCAGTATAATTTTTAGGTTTCCTCACCTAGGTCAATGACAATGGGTTTGGTTTTGGTTTCAGCTAGGTGTGCAAAACAGAGACATTTAAACCATGTATGCATCTTTCCCCACATTTAGACAAGTCAATCTACTAACAAAAGCCAATAACTCTTAACAGAGTGAAATATATGAGCAAACCAGGAAGCCTTGTTTTCTGCTATAGCATATTTGAGAAGTTGCCTCTTGTATCCAGTTCAGTAAAAAGTTAGCATTTTGTTTGATACATAAGCTGCTAATTCAGATCATGAAAGGAACATGTACTTTGTATCTTAACTTAGTGAGTTCTAGTATTTCCAGCAGAGTACTCACTCAGTACCCCACACTCAAACGCCCTGTCTACTTGTCTGCCTGGGAGTTCTTTACTCCCAGTACCTACCTAGCACAGTGCCAGGTCCACACCAAGTTCATAATATATATTCATAAAATGATTTAATAAGGAGCTCTTTTGGAAGTCATATGTCATCATATGTAGTCAACCATGTTAAAAATACAAAATCCTTCCTAAACCAAGCAAAGAACAGCTGCTTATATAAAAAGTCCTAGTTGTAGGTGCTTCTTTGTTCCATCTAAGGCTTATGCTTGCAACTTCCAAAGTTCAGTTCACACTAAGGCATGTCTACGGAAAAAACATCCTCTAATTTGTTCCTGCTATCTCCACCCTCCTTCTGCTAAAAACTTCTAGATGTAAACCAATTAATCTAAATCATATGTAATGATATGTGTAAAGCCGTGTTTCTAATGTGAAGGGGAGAAGGGGACATTCAGCAATGTCTGGAGACATTTTTGGTTGTCATGAAGGTGCTCCTGGCACATCTAGTGGGTAGAAGCCAGGAATGCTGCTAACCATCCTACAATGCACAGAACAGCCCCACAACCAAGAATTACCTGGCCCCAAATGTAAACAGTGCTGAGGTTAAGAATCCCTGGTCTAATTTAATCTCTTTAATCTGGCCTCTTAGAACATAACATCCCTATGCTTCTATGTCATTTAAATCTGATTATAAAGTTTCTGGCAATAAAGCATATGGTTGGAGACATACTATTCCTATGGAAACCACTATATGATTTTGAACATAATGGCAGTAGAGGAATGAAAATTTTGAAGCTTTCAGACAGTATAGTAGTGTAATTCAACCCTAATGGCAAATATATGACGGCCTTATGTAAGAATGACTCCTCCACTCAAGCTACTTTCCTATCATATGAGGTAGAGAGAAGACTCTAGGAAATAAAATCATGAATTTTTATCAGGTTCAAGATCTGACTTCTTCCATTTCTCTTACTCTGAGGACCTTAAAGATTTCATTTCTAAAACTTCCAAAATAAAAAGGACTAGGTAAAATGCAGAGTAAAAAAAGATGTGTATTATATGCATTAGAAATATTAACCATAAATAACAAAACCACTATAATTAAGGGGGGGAGGATGGGAATTAATTTTTGTTAGTCTTTTCTGTATTTTCCAAATTTTCTACCGGGGAAAAAAAAAGTGGACTTTCTGAAACACTGGATAAAATATTATCAAGGTATTTTTCCATGGAGAGAAAAACATTCAGGAGAGCTATATTAAGAAATTCTGAAATACTACTGTAACACATTAACTGCAATTGACTTTTAAAAAATACAATCACAGAGTAACTATGCTTATTGCCAATCCAAGGTTTAGAAAACTGTGGTTATTATCATTTATATGAACTCGGTTACTTAATTTCTTGACTCGCACTATAGACTATTAGATACTACTTTGAAAATTACAGGCACATATGCTCTGAAATTCTTTTAATAAAGAGACAAGATCAATGAAGAAATAAAAACATTTATTACCTTCCTGTTTTCATTTGTTATTGGAATTTTATCACCATTTTCCTTTAGATCATACATCATTGGATTACCAAAAAGATCTGTCTGAGATATCTGGAAAGTGATCATCATATCATCTTCCACATTTCCTTCATACTCCAATAAATCTTTTAAACTCTGATACAGAACCTAATAATCAGAAATAGAAAATTGAAGCCACCATAAAACTACAAAATACTACCAATAGTTTGTATCATTCTTTGTGGAAGACAATAAACTCTGTCCATAAGAATTAAAGCATACATAGCATCCCTTCTGTCCCCTAGATAGTTTACAACACAGAAACTACAGAAAGATCGTCAGTCATTGATGTGATGTCCCATTCTCTGCTGAGAAACCCCATACCACATCCTCAGCAATGGATTTCACACTGTGCTCTATGAAAGCCTCAGAGGGGTCTGAGTCAGGAGGGAGGTGGGGGAGAGAAATGGACACACTGTAGCCACTAAGCTCCTCAGTCAGGGCAGCTCTGATTTCATCTGGCAATCTCTCTCATACGATTTCATTACAAAACAAATTGTTTAAAAAGCCACTGCTCAAAGAATCAATCTTACAAAAGCTGCTTGCTGACAGCAATATATAAAAATATTTTTCCCTTTGAGTTTTTATGTGTTCATAGTATATCATCAGATTAAACCAACTTTATCATACTGGGAATAAATATGAACAAATACCTCCTCTGCCCAAAAAAAAAAAAAAAAAAAATAACCTTTTAAAATTTAAATATAAACTGTATTTTTGCATTTAAGTAAAATCTAAGATATCAAATAAAAAAAGACAAAACTTACTGGGTGAGAGTCTCCCAAGTCACGAAAAGTTCCTTTTTTCCCCATTAGCTTCCTGTAGACAACCATGGGAAAATGTACATCCAGTATACAGTTATTGTAAATAGCCAGACCCAGTACTATGCCAATCAGAGTAAACTGACCCTCAGTTTCAAAAGAAGATGGATTAAACCAAAACACTTTTGTAGATTCATCATATGTGAACATACCTATAAGAAACGATTTTTAAAAAATACAATTATTTTTGTATTCTATTAAAGACTGACAATGAAACACAATCAAAATATAAATTTGAAATAATTACACATGCAAAAACCTTACATGTACTAGTTGTACAAAAATTATAATTTAGCACTTGAGAAACTAATATGCAAATATATTCAAATACATAGCAAACCGTGGCATGTAATTTCAAGAAGCCAAGGAAACAAAGTAATAAGCAATTTTGGCGCAATTTCCAGGAAATTAAATTCAAGTTCTTCAATCTTCCACAAACATACGTGAAAAATTAATTAAAATTCATACTTTATCCACTCAATGGTTGAAAATAAAAGCAATGAATTATCAATAAAGTTAAAAGGCTATCATACTTTGAAATGTTTCATTTATAAAAACATAATTAATCCACACATACTGCTTAGAAAAACAATTACGAATTTCATTGTTGTTGTTCTAGTTTTCGTTTTTTCAGAATTGCACAATGGTACAAGGAAATTTTTCTAGCACCTTTCTAAACTTAGATAAACTTGATAAACTTAGATTATGTCCAAAATCCAAAGCTATTTAACACGCACATGAATTGTAAACTAATATGGAAAACAAAAGTAGTCTGTATTGTTAGTCTTCTTTCAGTTTCACATGGCCTTCACTATTCCAAACTCAAACTTGGAGACTTTTTTTTTTTATCACTCATTGTCATTTTTAGCTCTATCGAGTTGGCCCACAACTCACGGTAACACCACGTGTTACTGTTCCAAAGAGTCTTCTTGACTATAATCTTTATGGAAACACTTCATCAGCCCTTTCTTCTGCAGAGCCCCTGGGGGGGGGGGTTAAAATACCAACCTTTAGGTTAGCAGCCAGCTGCAAACCACTTGTGCCACCTAGGCTCTTCACTCATTAAAGGATAGTAATGTTTGGTTTTACCTATCTGAATGGCCATTACTAAAACAGCTTACCTTGTTCCCTTTAAATGAATGTCATATGGAAAAAGACAGCTAAATATTTTAAAGTAATTTACAGCTTTTTCATTTTATTAAGTGTTTTTCAACTGCTACTGTGAAACTGAATAGAAATATTATTTTAAGACTTAGGTCTGAAGAAAAAACTAATTTTCAGTCGAAATCAAATAGTGCAGTATATAGCGTATTAACTATATTTTAAAATCACTTTATCAAGAATTTTAAAAGCTTTTAAAATGTTCCTTCATTTTCACATTAATTTTAAGTTAAAAGTAAAAGCAATTTTAAAATGCTCTCTTGACCACTAGAGCATAAATTAAGCTTAGGAATTTTTTAAAAATTTAATCTTCATGAAATAATGGCTTGGAAATCATCTAATTTTTACCTGACTTTCACAGTTTAGATCTAAATTTTTTTTCCAAGCCTAAGTAACAACATCCATGGATGACCTAAAAAGTTCATTTAGTTATAAACATGGTAACAGGAGGACCAAGAACAGTTGGTCAAAAATTACAGTTAATTAACAAATTTGATGAAATCTCACAAACGCATGTCCTTGGTCTCAAGAGCAATAAAGTATAAATTTATCAGAATATATCTGTATATCTGAAAACAATCCTTGAGTCCAGGGAAATTCCATTTTAGGCACATTTTTCAGGTTTCTGGAAGAAAAGCACCGTAAGAGTACTTCTTTTAAAATACTTCTTTTTTGATATTTCTACTGCCATCATTTCGACTACCTTACTAACTTTGCTTTCAATACATTTGTATATTTTTTTCTTAAAAGTATTTCTGCATATATGTTATAGCTACTATTTAACATTTCTAGATATATCAGAAACTTGAGTTAGAAGTTTACTATAAATCACACTGAGAAATTAAATACTTTAGTTACCTTTATTTTATAATTGTCTTTTTCCTCATGAAGCTTGTAAATAAATTTTCTATCTCAAAAAGGGTATGGTTTAATACATGTTTGGTTTACAATGAAAAAATTACATAAAAATGGCAAAGCTTTATGATTATTAACAAATATTAGCTAGAATATAGACAGTCTTACATTAACTATATTTTTGTCATGAACTAAAAATGTTTGCTTCTGTTTACATATATTTATATATAGCTGACCAAGAACAATCAGAAAGGTCAATTCACTGTACATACTAAAATATGCTATCAACAGCTCCGACCCTCAAAGCTTAAGGGAAACGACTGACATTACTCCATGTCATGTCACGTTCCCTACAATTCAACTGGTACCATCAGTAGAAAGTTTTTCCTTTATCTGTTAGATACTCAATTTAAAAATAAGCCAGCCCAGTATCTAAGTGGTTATATTGTAGAAACTGAACCAGGTCAGAATTATTCAGTTGAGTAGTCTCTCAAAGAGGCTGTGTATCTTCCCTGTTCTACTTTGCCTACATAATCAAAAAGAATGAAAAACTGAAACTCAATTCCTTCACTTTCAGACTTAAGTATGTAGATCAGCCTTTCCCAAACTGTGTTTAATGAAAATTCTTCAAGGAGACAGACATCATTAGGTGTGTGGTGAATAAAGGGCTCTTGAGTTCAAAACATTTGGGAGAAATATTACAATTAAAGCAACAAGAAATCCTGTAAAGCAAATAAACTAATTAATTTGATACTGGCCAGTGTTTCTGAACTTTGAGCATGAACCAATTGTGAGACATTCTCAATATTCTTCAGACCACTGTTCTATGAAGTTCTTGTTTTGGACACATCACAAATTTGATGAATGTTTTAGATTACCAAGAAGAGCATATAAATCCCTGTAAATTAAATTGTTCTAATGTACCATTCTAAAGTATTCTCAATTTAATTTATCTAAGAGGCAATTTCCTATATTAAACTATTTGGCTAAGTAATCTAAATAAGAATGTGAATAAATGAATGATGCAAATTAGTTCCTAAAACCACAAATTTACTCATTATCTGTGATTCTAGATAATCTATACCGAAACCTTCTTTTGCTGTTCTTCATCCCCAAGAATGTCTGTAAACTAAGGTAAACAGATTCTTAATTCAAAAGGTTGATTTGACATCATAATCAATCATGAAAATATTTACCAATATCTGGATTGAAGATTTCCTCTACAACCAGCTGAAAAAATTCTTTGGAAACACCTCCCTCATCAACTCCTTGTTCTCCTTCAAATTCCACATACAATTGTTTCTTCAAGTCTGCAGGATTTTCCATAGCAATCATCTCTAGCTAGGGAGTGAAAAGACAAATGTGAAAAGGTAACTAGCATTATTAGAATGAAAGCAAAGTAAAAACAAGTGGAAGCACAACAAAGACAAAGAGTAGGGATAGGGAGCAAAATAGGAGACTCTGACTTCTTATTTGTTTTTAAATGGAAACAGGAACAAACTGGTAAAAAGTGAAGACAATGATGGTTCTCAAAGACTCATTCTTTATAGTAAAAAACTAGAATTAGACTTTGTTACTTGTATGTAACAAATCTGCGCTGTAAATAATTTCAGCAAAAACAATGGCATACAGAAGTTTGACTTCAAAATTGATTGCTAGTAGTCCTTTATGTTATTTAGAATAGAAAGCCAAGAATTAAACCTTGTAAGTTAAAATAATTTCACTTAAGAAGAATACATTGGTTAAATAGGGAAGCAGTCCGTGGTCTTTCATAACAGTGTTTAGTATAAATTACTGCTTTTTAATGGATTAGAACCCACATTTTATTGAAAGCAGGTAAGAAAAATGCTTGCTCATATCCGTACTCTTAACTTCTTAAAACAGTTATCAAATGCTAGTATCTAGCATTTTTTCAACTATAGATCTTCTACCCAATATTTTTTCATATCTATAGAATACTCAATATAGTGATCAATCTCAGTCACTATGAGATCCTGAAGTACTTTTTTATTCATAAAACTGATACCAGATTCTACTGTGAAATGTGTATCCTGCAAGTTGTTGTTTTATTTTATGTATCTGAAATGTACTAACAGTAACCCCAGCAGATTATAGACCTAATTCACTGAATTGGCTCCAAATGCCTTTGGCTGTTTAAAACAAACAAAAAAACCCTACTCTTCAAGGAAGAAAATTTGCCAAACGAGAATATTTAAGGGTGTGCAGAGTACTGCAACAATTCCAAACAGAATTTAAAAAATGGTTTTAAGCAATGCAAACATTACTGGAATCAACAGATTTAGTTCTGAAATAATTAATTTATATAATAGCACTTGTTTGGACATTCTAGTATACTTATAAAAAATAAAATAAAATTTCATATATTCATGCATCAGAGGTCAGATTGCCCTAGATCAATACAACTCATTAGTGAGTAGTCTAATCCATTTAGTGGCTTGCAACAAACAATGGGGGGAATATCAGAATGCATTCCACATAGCAATGGCATTTACTGTTTTGTTAAACTTTTGTTTCAATTATATGTACAGATGGATATGTGTATGTACTGGGATACTAGGGGATGCATTCAAAAAAAGTTGGAAAAACACAGGCCTGAATGATCTTCTGGGTATCTTCAACTTTTGGATTTTATGATTCTGTGACTTTAGTTAATGGTAATAAAATTAATTAGGGTTATCACTTTTCTTTAGCTTTAAAAAATGCTCTTTCCTTGCTGAACAGTGGTCTCTAACATTTACAAAATTATCTTTATGTCAAACTGTATTAATTTATTTTTGAGATAGCGTATTGTTCTGGAAAGATTACAAGTCAGAATACTCTGTTACTAGTCCCAATTGTCATATAACTTTTATTTTTTAAAATTTTATTGTGTTTTTGGTGAACATTTACACAGCAAGTTAGGTTCCTGTCACTTAACTTTTAACCTTTAGCAAGCGACTCAATTAAGTCTCAGTCTCAGTTTCCTCATCTGCAAAGGAAAAAAAAAAAAAAGGATAATACTCTTCATACTGCAAATCTGTAAAGGTTTAAATAAGAATATATGAGAAAGAGTTCTATAAAGTGGGTGACACTATTACGAGAAAACACATCATATTGTTATCTTTTAAAACAATGGAAGATATCTTCTCTGAACAAAGAATTCACAATTTTATGTTCCATAAGGAATCTGACATAAGCTAGTCCCAAGACTGTGGAGTCTTCAAATGTAGATTTGAAAATAACCTTGGAAAAAACAGTTCCAGTTTGGAAATCTGTTTCAAAGCTACAGAGTATATAAAATTCTGGGTACTAAAATTAGGTTTAGCATCTTAGCTCGAGTGTGATTTACCCATCGGGCCAATCTCTTATATTGCCATATAACGAACGCACTTCCAGCTTTCTTCTTCCAGTTCCCAACTGGCTAAGTGTTAAAGAAATGAAAGTCAGTGTTTATATTTGCCTTTGTAACATAAAGGTAAACCTGTTTTCATCAATTATAATGTGTTCCAAAGTGGAAAAAAAAAAAAAAAAAGATGAATTTACGATTTTCTGATATTTAGAATATGCATCCTATATCCCTTCTCCATTAATATTCATAAATGAAAGCTGGCTCTCCAATCAATGTGGTATCTTAAGGATTTGGTGGAGAGTTTCTACAGGATTCAGAATCCCTGTGCTCTAGTCTTGGCTCCACCTAAGACACTTCATATGAGAACAGGTGCAAACTTATCTTCATTCTTAATAAGTTATTACATGTCTGTTCATTCCCATCAAATTCCAGTGTCCACTCTCTCCCTTGGGTAGCAAAGGAATTTAATGTAATATGTTCTATGATTATGTTAATTATTAAATTTAAATTTACCTATCTTTGCTTTAGTTTCATCTGAAAAATGAGCATGATAGTAGTATTAAATAAGTTAACAGACGTGAAGCACTGAAATTTCCTGCACAAAGTCAGTGCCATGTAAGTACTACCTACTGGTACTGTTTTTGTTATCATGATTTTATTGGCTCTACATTTTTTTCTGGGTGTGCCTGAACTCCTAATACCCATGAAGTTATAGAAGAAAAATATTCCAGTAATAACAGCAATGGAAATTTTATATAGCATTTATGTGCCAGGGCACTATTTTAAGCACTTTACATATACTAATCCATTTAATCTTCACAACAACCTTATGAGGTAGATAATACAGTACCCTTATCTGCGGTTTTGCTTTCTGCTGTTCCAGTTACTTTCAGTTAACTGAGGTCCGAAAATGTTAAATGACTAGTGTGATGAAATCTTGTGCCTTACTGCTCTGTCCCACCCGGGGATCACGTTCACGTAACTTTTATTACAGTATATTGTTACAATTGTTCTATTTTATTATTAGTTATTGTTGTTAACGCCTTACTGTGCCTAATTCATAAATTAAACTTTAGCATACGTATGTATGTATAAGTGAGAACACAGTACATATAGGGTTCGGTACTATTCTGTGGTTTCAGGCATCCACAGGGGTCTTGTAATGTATCACTCGCAGATAACGGGGCACTACTGTACTATTAATCCTATTTTAAAGATGAGGAAACTGAGGTACTGAGGGTTAAATAACTTGCCCAAAGTCACAGTAAGTGGTGGAACCCATTCCTTTGCCATTAAGTCTATCCCAACACATAGCAACCCTATAGGACAGAGGAGAACTGCCCCATAGTGTTTCCAAGGCTGTAATCTTTATGAGAGCAGACTGTCACATCTTTCTCGTGCAGAGCAGCTGGTGGGTTCAAACCTACTACTTTTTGGTTAGCAGCTGAGCACTCAAACTCTGTGTCACCAGAGCTCCTTAGTGTTGGAACAGGGACTGTTTAATTCAGGTGGCAAATTCTTAATTATGCTTTGCCAACTATCCACAATGACTAGCAATGATCATTTTGACAAAGGCCACTATTAAGTAAGGGGCTGCATTTCTTTTCTTTTTTTTTTTTTTAAAAAAAACAAGCCCCTCCAGCCCTACTGTTTAGTCAATTAGAGAATAATTTAAGAATTATAAAAGTTTATCACTTTATGTAATAGCTATATCATTTAAAACTAAGCAGGCAATGCATTTTTACAAATCAAAAACTATTTTAAAAGAAGTAGGATATCTGGAAATTAGAGGAATATGGTTAGTGAATATCCTGAAAAGGAGAATTTGTATATGCTTCCCTGAATTTACTTATGATATAAACCTGGATTTTTATATCTCAGTTTTCTTAAAGTATTAATACAATTAATACAATTTCTTTTGTATTAATGTAATATGGAAACTGGCAAGAAACAAAGATATACTGGGAAAAAAACCAAAAAATAGACTGGATGTAATGACATCAACTTCTTCCTTGTATGACTTCTCTTATTAAGACTCTTGAATTCATCAATTGTTTGGCAAAACTATTTTCAACTTGTAAACTTTCAACTGGCCGTGATGATGAAATCCTAGAGATCACTTTTAAAAAAAAATTACCTGGCATCAAAGCATTCCCTGAATACAAAGGCAGGATAACATCTCAATATAATATAATACTTGGGTACCAAAGGAATTTAATGCAATATGTTCTATTATTATGTTAATTATGGATATTGTATTTGACCTATCTTTTGCCAGATTTACAAGTGTCAAAAGTAAACCTCATCATATGAAATCTTACAGTATTTTGAGCTATTACTCATGTCAAATTCGTGGTTATCCACAACTGAAAAAAAGCTCCTTGGTGGTATGGATGTTTCAGTAGAAGTAATAATACGCAGATAAAATAGACCTTTTTAGTATTTAAGAATGCTTAGGGTTTATAAGAAAGGCTGGATAAAGCCACTTCAGTCAACTTGTTAGTTACTATGGTTATCAGTTTGCTAGTGAATATGCTTAAATCATTGACCAGAATGAGATTTTTAGATTATCCAAATATTTTCTTTTTATCTTGTCTATAAATAAACAGGAGCCCTGGTGGTGCAATGGTTAAGAGCCTGACTGGTAACCAAAAGGTCGGCAGTTTGAATCTACCAGCTGCTCCTTGGAATCTCTATGGGGCAGTTCTACTCTGTCCTATATGGTCGCTATGAGTTAGAATTGATTCAACAGCAACTGATTTTGGTTTCTGGCAAATAAATAAATGAAGAAAAGTCTGTTATACCTTAAATATAAAGTTTAGGTGTCTCATAATCACACCTACCTGTTAGGGAATTCTGAGTTCAACTTCCAATTCTGCCATTAATTTTTGCAGGCTCAAACCTCTCTGGGTTTCATTTTCCTCACATATAATACACTATGGCAGTTAGACTAGTTTCATTAAGTTTTAAATTATTGTATGGTGCTGAGAATCTATGCTGATCTGCTTCTTTCTCTTATTCTAGTTCTAATAAATTACTTTGGGGACACAGACCAAGCATGAAGTTCTTCCTTTCAATTAGAGTAAGTCATAAGCAACAACAATGGTCAGTGCATTAAGCACACTACAGTGAATGTATAAGAAACAAACATACCCAGATCAGCACAGAATATTATTATTCTTAAACTACTGCAGGTAAATTGATAAATGAAAGAATCAAGCTCATGTTTCAAGAATAACAGGGTTTTTGTCAAAGAAAATCCTTGGGAGTGGGACAGTACTGCTGGAGCTCAGATCAAAAGTGTGAGTGATTTTTAGAGAAGACTGAGCACAATCTCTTTGTAGAGCTTATGTGTGGTACTTTTGTGTCTACTACATTTACCATGTTCTAGTTTATATTTTTGGTCTTCCCAATCCAATTCTACCTCTAGCCATTCCTTTTGGTCTTTAGATCTCTACTTGAAATTTCAGAAGTCCCTGGACTAATCTGAACCAAGTCTCACACTACCATCAATCCCTATACTAACCCTATTTTCCTCATCATCCTCGTAAAACCTGGCAGTTTCCTAAATATGTACTTGTATGTAAAAATGGCCTGAATAAATACATATATATACATATATACTGTACCAATAGCCATCTTCCTAAATAACTGGTTTAGCACCCTGGCTTTATAAGACTATCTTAGGGTACTTCTAAAAGTACAAATTTCCAGCCTCCAAACCAAATCTCCTAAATCTGAATCTCCAGAGGGTAGAACCTTAGATTTTTTTTTTTTTTTAAAGTTTCCCATTCAGAGGTAAGGTAGTTTGGGGCACACATCAGAGATGACAACAACATCTTCTTGCATTAAACCTATACCCTCAATCTTCTACCATACAAAAATTTTTTTAAATGTCTATATACCCACTTCCTTTGGGAAGAAGAATGTCAAGTTATATGCTATATATTTTAAGAATATACACATGGATAAATGTATTAGTAAAATACTGTAAAAGCCTTATCATAATCAGGATTTTCACTCAAATGGAAGCTGAGCTCTGAGCTCTTGTCTGTTACTATACTATTTTCTAAGGGGCAACAATAACAGTGAAAACAGTCCTAGGGGAGATATCCCAGTAACTTAAGGAGAGATTGGGTTACAGGAGAGTTAAGCGTTCTTAAGCAACTCTGAGATTTCCCTTTGCAGAAAGGCATCTTATATTTTTTATTACATTGATTCTAAAATTAATTTTTCGTTTTTCACGTTTTAAGATCTCTTAAATCGGAATGTACCTTACAATTGACAGCATCTTACAACTAATTGGTAGCATTTTTCTCCCTTTAGTGGTAATGAAATAATATTGTGTCCTACAATCAATGGTATCTTGGATTTGATAAAATACTAAAACACTAATTCTTCTCTTGTCATCAAACATCTTCAGTTACAAAACAATTTGGTATTCTGGCTTGAATTACATAAATACACGAAAGCAATGAATATACTTTTCTTTAAAAATAAAAAAAATCCATAATTATTAATTCAAATTACTACCCCATCTGTTCCTCCAAGCTAGCCAGTCTTATAATTATAACAAGTAAAAAAAAATAAGACCCAATAGAAAACATACTCTAGAGTGTCATATACGTAGTCACTAAGTCTTCTTTGACCTCATTTATGAACTAAGGACTAGATGAACTCCCAGGTTCCTTGTAACAAAGTCTAGGATTCTATAATTATTTAATCATTAATATTGAGCTCAACACAAAGTTTCTCATTTCCTCCTCCCTTCCCAAGCTTATACTGGTTCAAAATTAGCAGGTGTAAGAAAGCAGTCAATGGGTTGTATTTTGTTTATCAAACTGATTTAAAAGGAAAAATGAGACTTAGTAAAGTAGTCCTTGGGGAAATACTACGTTGAAAAACCCATCAATACTCTTTTTAAAGTTCACCAGGAGAATTTTAAAAAACATTCATCACCTGAGAAGTGTACTTTTTGTTGTAAACCTTCTGCCTTCTGCTAATTAATCTGCCTTTATCATAATCATCTGCTGTGAATATTTATTTTTAAAAAATAGGCAGACTATCAATTTGACTTCCGAGACCTGTCCTACACTTATTTTTCTATAATTTTTTCACATTGTATTATTTAAAAAAAACAAGAAGAAAGTTAAGAATAAAATCAGCTTAGCTTGAGCATTTAGAATTCCAAAGAAGTTTCTCAGTGCGCGTTATTCATCTTTGTATCTCCACTACTTTGCAAAATGCCTAGCACACACAGGATTTCTGAACTGCTTTTGGAACTGATATTATTCAGTATAGAGATTATCTAGTTAATCCTGACTTACAGTGAGCCAAATCTTAATTTCCAGCTTTGACATAATTAAGCAGAGCTGGTTAAAAAAAAAATCATTTGTTATCACAATTAAAAAGCTCAAAGTTAATTTCACTCCAAATGTCTGTTTAGAAGGCTTATAAACTGAAGCAGCTAATTGTTTCCTCTACATCCCAGAAGATAATTACAGAATAAAGTTTAAGTATACAGAAAGTACCTAAACTTTTGTTGGTTCTTAGTCCTGCTTTATTTACTAAGAGGAAAAAAACGGGGAGGAATGAGGAAGGGGGGAATAAGGCAGAGTAAACTTCTAAGCAGAAGGCAGAAAAATAAGAAGAAAGAGCTTTTTTAAAAAACAAACAAACAAAAAACCGTGGATTGAATCTTAAGAGAGTAATTTCATTGTTTTTGAAAGGCCAGGCTTTGATTTTAGTCAAAACCAGTTTAAGGGGTCCTAACCCAAAAAGCCAAACATAGTATGTGTAGTTTTGGCACTCACAGTTCTGTTTTAGCAACAGATATTCATTAACAGACCTCAACATACTTTTTATAAAACATCACTCACATTCTTAAACAACACCCTACCTACCATTCTGCTAAACTATGTAAAATTCAGTTGCTTGCTGCCTGAGAATCAGTAATTAAGTGTGATAATTATTCACATTGTACATAAGTAAAATAAACAGGCACCAGAAATTAATGGTAATTATTTCATGTGATTAATTCCCTTTTATGTCTCTGTTGAAAAACTGCCTGAGTTGCTCAAATAATGCAGAATTTTTCCTCAACACTATAAACATATTTGGAATTTTTAAAAACTAGGAACAAGAAAGGAGGCACAGAACCTCTGCAACTTTTTAACTTCTGAGACCTCAAACAACCTTTCCCACTGGTAGTTTACAGTTCTATGAATTCTTCAGATTTAGACAAATTCACTCTAATCTAAAATATATTCTAAAATAAATATATACACTATTTTTCAGTTGTCTGTGTCAGGGGTTCCTATTCTTCATTAGTACAGAAGTTTGACTATACCTTAACTTTAACTGACATACAATTTCACTTGAAGTTGATGAAAAAGAATTATTAATGATGGGGATACCTAATACTTTGAATACAATAAAATGATAAAGCACCCTGTAACAAATGTAAATTTTGGTACTATGTGACCGGCAATCTGTTTGTCTTCTGGGTAGTAGTCCCACATTCTTAACTGGGACATACAAATTCTCATCTCCTGGGGAGTAACAGAAGGAACAAGAGGCAACTCCATCTTGAGAAACTGAAAGTTAGAAGGTGGGTATCTGAGTTCCCAGTACTTTTTCCAGCTCAATCTCCCTGGATTGGGTTGATGATATAGGCACCATTAATTGCAAAATTCCTAGGATAGCTGTAGTTCTCCCAAAAGATCCAACAACTACAAGACCTGGAGTTGTCCTTATGGTAGTTAAGTGGAAAGAAACTACCACAACCAGGGCAGTGCCTCAGAGAGACATTTAGAGTGGTCGAGCAGGAATTCAAACTCTTGCACGCGATCTGTACAAACTTGCTCCAGTCACTTCATGAAGCTCACAGTAATGCAACTCTCAAGTTAAGACTTCAAATTCACACACGTTACTGGACATCTGCGTATCTCCCTATTGTTATGCATCTGGCCTTATCCTAACACCCTTCTCTTCTGAATGGGAAATCCTCTGGGGCTAGTTGTTAAGGTTTAGAAAACGTATTCTTTTTCAAAGAGAGATTATTACATAAGACAACCAATGCTTTGTGGAACACATTTATAAACAAGCACAGGAGTGAAAGTACTCTAAATTAAGATATGTCCATGTATCCCTAGGTTATAAAATTCCATACATATGTATATATATATATATATTTTTTTTTTTCAAAGTCACTTACAAAATGAATTCACTGAACTGTACCAAGATCTCACTTCTCCAATCTCCCTATCATTAGATTTTTAATCTAGTATTAATTTTAAACAGCTGCCCAACTTACCCGGACAAGTGCATCATCTATGATATGATCACGTCTGACTTTGAGTCTCAAATACGGGTTCAACTGTTGTCCTTGAACTAAGCTGTAGAGAACAGTGATTCTTCGTTCACTGTACATGCGAATTCTATTGTCATAATATAATCCCAAATTCTTCGTGACAGCATTCAATATAAAGGGACATGTCATAAAAGAGAATTTGTTTTCTGTTTCTACTTTGAAAAAAGTATAATCTTTATCCATTTCTAGAACATCATTCAGTGGTTCATTAATAAACTCTTCAAAAGGGATAAGTGGTTTTCGACAATCTAGAGTTTTAACACCAAGTTCAGTTTCCAGTGGGTCCACTCGAGGACCTTTCTTATTTCTTCTTTCCTCTCCCAACAGCTCCTGAAGTGTCAATTCACTGGATTCTGGGATGGGCTCTTCATCATCTTCTTCATTGTGGTTTCTGTCCACTTCCCCTCCCACTACATTTGCATAGTAAACCATTTTCAAGCACTTTGAAGCAGCAACAATGGCATCATCATCATTCACTAGATTTCGACTGTTAAATTCATTGCTTATGACTTTGTAAGTAATAAGTTGCTGAAATGTTTCCATCATTCTCCGAATCTGGTCTGCATTGTATTTAGACCACAGTCTAACTAGTTTCCCTTGGGCTGCAAGGGGAAGCTTGCTCATCGCTTTGCAAAACAATGGCAAAGCCATTTCCAGATATTCAGGACTATGGAGATTTCCATTCTCCATTACAATAATGAACAAATTCAGATAATTAGGATCTCGGGAGTATACATTGTGATAGGTCAAGTCACATTCCACATTAGGTGACAAGTATACAAGTGCATTAAGAAAGGCAGTTTCTATTTTTTCATTAGAAAGCAATCTGGTGTAGACCCTTCTAATGGCATCAATATCCACAGACACATCTTCAGGGCCTAATTTTTGTAAGTTGTTATCTCCTTGTGAGCTATCACCTATCCTTGAGGAGGATGCTTCTGAATCTTCTTCCATAGCAGCAACAGAACATGCAGCTTTTTCCTTTTCATCTTCATCCTTGTCTTCATCTTTTCCTTGAAGTGATTTCAGTTCTTCCTTGGTGTGTTGTTTGACTTTCCGAAAGCTCTGAACCAATGCCTCAGCACTAGAAAAGACTCTTCCAATAACACGGATTAAAGGGGAATAATCTTCTCTCTCTCTACACAATTCAAGAATTTCATATACCTTCTCTTCTGTTAGGAAAGTCACATCTAGAAAATTGAAGGAAAAAAGACAACATTTATTTTCATTATATATATATATATATATATGTTAAATTCTAGTGAAAAGCAAAACAGACATTTTGCACTCAGTAAAAAGGTATAACCAAATCCAATGCTGTTGAGTCGATTCAGACTTATAGCAAGCCTATAGGACAGAGTAGTTAAGAGCTCAGGCTGCTAACCAAAAGGTTGGCAGTTCAAATATACCAGTCACTCCTGGGAAATCCTATGGGGAAGTTCTACTCTATACTGTAAGGTCGCTTATGAGTCAGAATTGACTCGATGGCAACGGTTTTTTGTTTTTGTTTTTCAATAGGACAGAGTAGAACTGCCATAGAGGGTTCCAAGGCTGTAATCTTTATGGAAGCAGAATGACACATCTTTCTCCCGTGGAGCAGCTGGTGGGTTGGAACTGCCTATCTTTCAGCTAGCAACCAAGAACTTAACCACTGCACCACCAGGGCTCCTTTGCACTCAATACCATTTGTGATTTACAATTCTTAAATCATGTTCTTTCTGATTCATCACAATACAAACAACTTCTACAAGAGCAGAAGCTACTATCCTCCTGAAGAGTTTCTTTCCTGTTGCAGTACATCTGTTATCAAATACAAAGGCATGGATTTAAGAAAGGTTTCTTGATCATCGTCTTTTGGAAACAGCTCTTTTCCTACTTCTGTAGGTATTAAAATTAAATTAGTTTTGTTGTTGTTGTTATTCTTCCTAGTTTGTTCCAGAATGGTCATTCTGTTGGCAACTGAGGAGATTTAATGCACCATTTCTCACAAGCTCTGAAGTTGAAACTGTCATCTGCAGACAAGAATCAGGTTGGAATGAAATTTACAGAGTAGCAGGAACTAAGTAATGAGCAATGAAAAACAAAGTGAGAGGAAGGCAACTTATAAGCAAGCAAGTAAAGATGAGATTACCATGTAACAACAAAAGTGGAAGTCTATTAGTGGGCTTCCAGGAAAGAGTGTGCTTCTAAATAAAAAGGGGCAGATATGACTGACTCTTAGAGTAGAAAAAATAATCATTTAAGTTTTTTGATTAGATAAACAAAATAACTAATATTATCATCTTCAAATCACCCAAGCAAAGACTACTATATGTTTCTACAAATTATAAAAATTTCCTTCAAACTTTAAAAACTAGTATTTATTAATATTTAGAGACCTTTTTTCATAAGGTACTACACAGATAAGCAAAAATACTACCTAATTGTGGAAGAAATAAAAATGGAGCACACCAATTTAAGTAACATCACTATATATTTCTGATTAGTGCTGCATTTAAAATAATTTAACTAAAACAACTTAAAACTGCAATAATACGTTTTATTATGAAATAGTAATATTCTTCACAATTAAGCTAAATAACAATGGAGCTCCTGTCATTCTAAATAAACTATTCAGATGTTTTATTTTATACAAAACAGAACAAATAATATATTTTGTGTATTAAATTTTATGAAGTTGCTTAAGAACGTAATACTGAGGACCGTCTTAATCTATCTTGTAATCAAGAGAGTGATAGACTTGTCATCGCTACATCAAGCACTTAAAGGATAATTTTAGAGTCATGTAGATAATCCTACCTTCACTCTGCCAAATATGACCTTGTACATGTGCTGTTCAACATGTTAAATTTTTTTGGCAAACTTCTGACTTCTGTTTTAATATATTTGCTCCAAAGGAAAGATAATATAAAATGCAAGCGATCACTGGATGAATGGCTTGCGAAAGCTAGGCTATAAAAATATAAAATTTTATCACACCACAAACCTGATCTATGGCCCCCACTATGAGAGCCCCAACACTTGCGCAGTTTTTTTTTTTTTAAATTGGGCCCTAATCTTTAAGAACTAATCATCGACGGCAATAAAGCACTCTAGGCAGAAGCACTACAGCGTCCCTCCACAGCAAAGATCCGAAAAACTAAGCCAAACAGAGAAAACAGCAATCCTGAAACCCTAAACATCAAATGAAAAAATAAAGAACTCAGCCAAGCACCAAATGGAATAAGAAACTGACAGAGAACAGAGAGCGAGGAGACATACATGGAGAGGTCCCCTATCAGCTAATGCAGCACAGATCCGCCATCTTGGACTCCTATCAGAGACCAGCAAATAGGGGGTATGAGAAAACAGCTTCATGGAGCTTCCAGCAGGAGACAGAATAACTGGTAACTGGCAATATACGCTTTCCCACCCCCTACCTTCTTCACCCCCACTCAGCCTCCTCTGCTTCCGGCGGCCACAGTCTCTTGGCCAGGAAGCACTGGCTGCTTGGCTTCCACCCGCCCACACTGGCCGACTCCTTGTGTGGCATTTGATGGCTGCTGGTGTTACTTTTTTCCGCTTCTTTTGAGCTCTTCCTTACCTTTCACCACCTCCCCCTCCTTTTGCTCAAATACCTGGTTCTGTGCAACATCTTTGCTTCTTCCTGAGGGGCTGTGGAGCTCTGTTCGAGTGTGGAACTGCTTCATGGTCCGTGCTGCCACGCTGGTGGGATCCCGGGGCTTTTATTCATTTGTTTTCTTTTTCTTTTCTCGAGTTGGAAGCCTGTTTTGGCCGGGCGGTGCTGCATGGCTTGGGATCTGCCCCCTAAGCTTGCACAGATGCGCGGAGGGATCCCTGAGTGCACTTCTTTTTTGGTGGCTTTTTTTTTTTTTCTTTTTCTGTTTTTTCAGGGAGTTTTCTTCTTCTTTTTTTTTATTTGTTTTGTTTTCTTTTCCTTCTTGTTCCCTTTTTGTCTTTCTTCATTACTCAGTTTCTCATCTCTCTATACCTTCCTTCTCTTCCTGTCCCCTGGATACCTAGCACTGAATACCTCTACACCTCCTAGCCAGGCTGTACTTCAACACCTGGGAACAACTTCCCCCAACCTCGCAGTCACACTGGTGGGATCCCTGGGAGCTTTGCTGTTCTTTTTTCTTTCTAATTTTTATTTATTCATTCTTTTTTCTTCTTCTCCTTTTTGTTTATCTCCATTTCACAGTCTCTCATCTCTCCACTCCAACGGCAAGCTCCCCTATCACTCTTTTTCGTTTGTATGTTTTTGGCTCCTGTTCCTCTCTCCTATCTCCAATACCCATCTTAGCTCCACACATCACAATCTCCCCCCTCTATCCTGCCTACCTGCACCATGTGCTAAACATCACACCACCAAGCATCACAGGAACGGCCTACCGGAACCTTCCATGCACTGACCGCCAACTCGCCCTGGTGGCTGTAGTAAGTGCCACAAACAACCCATCCCAGCAACTCCTCTTCAGCTAGACCTGCCCTGCTCTACCATATCTAAGCAACTGACCTCGCCAATTGGAGAAGCAAGTGAAGAATATCGTGCCCACAGACAATCAAATAAAAAAGAACACAGAGCCCGCCTGCTCAGACATAGCCAAATT